GTACGCCGTCCGCTATGCTTGCCGAACTTGGTATAGCTGAACTTACGGTTAGTTTTAAGAATAAGTAACATAACTCAACCCCTGTCGACTTCACTGGTAATGTAAGTGCTGCGAGCGGCCGGGGCTCCGGATACAATAATGAAGATACGTTCATTCACAGCTCTTCAATCTAAATTTAGGGGTAGCAATATGTTGTTGTTTCATCGGATCGTTTCTCTTCTCGTTGCTCTACGAGCTCTAGAATCGGACTTCTCGCGGCCCGCGCCCTTCGCGTCCGTAGCACAACTCATAACACGCAATGATTACGGTATTAATACGTAATAGGTCCTTCCCCAACGCTCTAAATAATTGGTAACTGTGCCTGGAACTCGGTAACTGTTTAACAAGTTGTTGTGGCGCAGGAGCGCATGCGCGAGACGTGGCGCGCGGGGCACGCGTACGTGCTGGCGCCCACGTCGGCGCGCGCCCGCGTGTGCCGCGAGCGCACGGAGCAGCCGCTGCGCAGCCGGGAGCGCCCGCGGCTCGCCTGCCAGCTCACCCTCGACACGGTGCTGCTCAACCTCACCTCGGTAACCAACCGCTGCTGTCCTTTGATTATATAGACTGTTAATGTCGCGTTATCTGCTGTCCATTTGAAACCGAACCATTAAACCGTTTTTTATTTATGAGGTGGACACCTTACAACACTGCAATGTCTAGTACTCAGAAAATTGTGTTGTGCTTAGCGGCAGTACAGCGAGGCAGTCGGTTGCGCACTAGGGCTGGAGCGTATCGGGCGCGTGCGAGAGTTCCGCGCTCTCCGACCCTCCGTTCCAGTCAAGGGACACGTCAGAGACTGGTGGATCTATGCACTCTCCTGTCACATGCCACATAATAGATGTAAGTAACTTTTACACAAGATACCCAATAGCTTGAATGCCGTCCGTAGCAAAGCAGAGGTCTGGGCCGGATCTATATAATTATGTTGAGTGACTGGGTTGGGGCGCGCAGGGCGGCACCCGCGGCCCAGCTGGGCGGCGTGCGCCGGGCGGGCCCGCGCCGCGTGCGCGTACGTGCGCGTGTGCCTGCAGCTCGTGACGTCACCGGCCGCCGCGCTGCCGCCCGCCGACAAGGCCGCCAAGGACGACTTCGAGTGGAACACTCCGCTGCACGTACTCAAGCCGCTTCGGGAGGTACGCTGCTTTCAGAACGGTTTCAATCAGAACTCAACCCCACAAACTCGTTTACAAAAACCTCTATCTCACCATAGCTCTATCCATAACTCTTGTACATAACCAAATGTTCAATAATAGTCTGAACCGCTGCTTCCAAACCTATAGAATAAAAATAGTAAGAATGAAATTATGTATCACAGATAGCCATGCGGAGCGTTCCGAAAACGACCCCTGTTTCCAGTCCAGACAGACCATCATCAGGACGCAGCATGTTGGTGCATTGGTTCCCGCAGTGGTGGGGCTGGTACAGCTCTCCCGCAGTCTCCACGGATACCACCACCACACCCGTCACGGCACCTTCAACCCCCACTCCTTCCACCCCTACCCCTATCCCCGCTCCTACATCGGCCCCCGCAGAGCTGGAAGAGGAGATACTTGACGTAATAGCGGACTCGCTCGAGAACAACACTCTACTGAAGAAAGATATGGTATTCGGGAAGTTTGATTTCGTGTTGAACAAAGGATCTTTTAATTTGTTAATGGACAGTGAAGACGGAGAGGAGAGGTGAGTCTTCACTTTTATAATTTAACATTCATTGTATTGGTCTAGACCTGTAGGCTCGGCCTAGACTGTAGGGTTTGCGAACTCATGGTCTAGTGTCAGTCCATGGTGTTAGTAGTTAGTTAAAACCCAAGACGCCATGACGTTGACGATGCCGCCAACCAGGAGTCAGATGCGAAGTCCAATTGAGGTTACGACTATTCTACCATTCAGGTTGTATGTGAACCGTGTTCTGGTGTTGTTATTTGAAGGTTTACTTAATTGGGTGGTACACGTAATTGAGTCTGAGCAAACTAATCGATCCCCAACCGGAAATTGATACGGGACTTGCCCAACAAACACCCTATACTCCGAGGTACGATTTCAAAGTCAAGAATAATAGATAAATGAACGGGTAAGTCCCACGGGGCTCCGGGACGCGCGCATTACCGACTCGATGGTGCATCCTTGACGGCTTGTCCGTTCCTCGTCCGCGAATAATGAAGTTTGTATCGTCTCCCGCGACGACTCGACGTAAAACCGACTATTACCAGTGCCACCTGAAGATTACGTACCGGTAGAGACAGCTGATGCGCATGTAGTTTTGTTGTGTAATGTCTATGTGGGCGTGTGCAGCGGCGTGGAGCTGGAGTTCGTGTGCGTGCGCGTGCAGACGGAGTGGAGGCCGCGGGGGGGCGCCGCGGGGGTGCACGTGTCCCTGGGGAGCCTGTGTCTCACGGAGCGGATCACGCCCGGGACGCTGTTCCCCGTCGTCTGTGCGCCTCAGGTGAACACTACACTTATGTCTACACTACGGATAATCCAGTGCTAGTAGGCTACTAGAAAACTTCTCGGAAGCGAGGTGTACATATACCACAAAGTAGCGCGAGCCCGGGACTTGATTTGAACTATATTATATGGAAAGTGCAGAAGTTGTTTTTGGGACGATATGATTCTTTACCATAGTGAAAACCCGGTATATGCGCGGGGTCATTGATCTCATGGGAACTAGGGATCGTCTCTCAGTTGCTTACAGTTATGATTATGGGTTCGCTGACACGGCGCAGTGCATCGTTATTATTCGTTTACGTTATGGTAATTATTTATTAACTATTGCATAGAATTTCCAGATGAACTTCATTTCAATTGGTATTTATACATACGAACTACGAATGAAATTGATTGCTGATTTTTTGCTTAGATGTAGGGACGAATTCGTGGCCCACTCGGTATTAAGCGATTACCGGAGCTTATGAGACATCAAAACGCGAAAGCCGCCGCCCACCATGAGATTTGAGGTCTATATCTCAATTGTGTAGTATTTACGTAAATTGTATTTTTTGCGGTTTGATTTGTATTACACATCTTTGAAATAAAAATCAATCAAGATTGAATCTTGTTCTCAAGAACCTAACAATTAACTGATTTAGTTGAAAACGATAATTAGCATTAAAAACTTATAATATTGTGTGACCGTAGGGTGTGATCCGCTCGGGACTGAGTTCCCTGGGGGGGGCTAGTGCGGGGTACGCGGGGAGCGGGGCGTCGTGGTGCCGCGCGCACGCGGCCCCCGCGCCCCCCGCGCCCCCCGCACACAGCGAGCCACTCTTCCAACTGGCGTATGAAAAGAAACCGATCGGACTCAACTGCGATTACAAGTCAGTGCCATTCTTTTTATTCCGTTTATACAAAACTAGCCTTTATCCGCGTTACATTAACACCACTAATGAATTATATCGCTCGGGAAGAGTAGTTTTTCTGGATGAAAGGTGCCATATTTACTTTTCTGAACCCCCGATAATCTGTGTACAAAGTTTTACAATGATCAGTAGAGTAGTGAAGACGTGAAAGCGTGACGTACGTACGTAACATACAATAGTCACGTCGCCCAGCACAGTGCTTGGTGCTTGGTAAATCTATGGCAACGATAGCATTATTTGATTATGTTTAGTGATGTAAAGTATAAATACATAATTAACATGTATTAGCTACCAATCCATTTACATTCTGTCCGTCGGTCTAGCGAGCAGCCCTCCCGCTCGGTTGTCAATTTTCAATTCGTGGTTTCCACAAAAACATGAAACAGACAGTGAATGTTTCCGTTACGTAGATGATCGGTTTGGCGCTCGGCAGGTTGTGGGTGAAGTCGGCGTCGCTGGAGGTGGTGTACTGCGAGGCGCTGGCTCGCTGGGCGCAGCGCTTCGCCCGGCGCGGCTGGGACGCCCGGCTGGCGCTGGACTCCACGCGGGCCACGCTCATCAACCACTTCGAGCACATGGTCCACGCGCATTCCGTACGCCACCGCTCCTGCTACCTGCTTGTATTCTAAGTCACTACATATACTGTATACATGGTATCATATATTTCCTCAGTCGGAGCGCAGTTCCTGGCACGTGGAACTAGACATCTGGGCTCCTCAAATCCTGCTGGTGGAGCAGCTCTGCTCGCGGGACTCCGCCCTCCTGCTCGTGGACTTCGGTCGTTTGAGACTGGCTAATGCCAACCAAGACCTCACACATCATGCACCTGCTGATGATGAAGGTATGACTTGTTCATCATCCGCGAATGTGAAACTACTTGTATGTCTATAAAATAAATATACTAAATATAAATATAATATACTGTACAAAAAACAAATTTTAATTATTTTTTGTTTTATTTAGGTATAATATTTAATATTATGATATTTTTTATTGCTTAGGTGAGTGGACGAGCTCACAGCCCACGTGGTGTTAAGTGGTTACTGGAGCCCATAGACATCTGTAATGTTAATGTGCCACCCACCTTGAGATATAAGTTCTAAGGTCTCAGGTATAGTTACAACGGCTGCCCCACTCTTCAAACCGAAACGCATTACTGCTTCACGGCAGAAATAGGCAGGGTGGTGGTACCTACCCGCGCGGACTCTCAAGAGGTTCTACCATCAGTAAAGCAAGAGGTCCTACCACCAGTAAAACATTCAGGATATATCTATATAGTGTGTGTAATATTTACAATTTATGTTCGGATTTTTTTTATCTATCTAATATTAATTTTAAATGAAAACATTATGTCACCGATGTTTAGTGCAACATTACATTTATTTTCCCAGAGATGTTCATGACGCCGTGCTCGACCCCCCCGGGCAGCCTGTTGTCCCCCGCGTCCCCCGAGCCGCCCGCGCCCCCCGGCNGGATATATCTATATAGTGTGTGTAATATTTACAATTTATGTTCGGATTTTTTTTATCTATCTAATATTAATTTTAAATGAAAACATTATGTCACCGATGTTTAGTGCAACATTACATTTATTTTCCCAGAGATGTTCATGACGCCGTGCTCGACCCCCCCGGGCAGCCTGTTGTCCCCCGCGTCCCCCGAGCCGCCCGCGCCCCCCGGCCACCGCCCCCCCGACCCCTCCGCGCTGCACCCCGACACGCTGCACGACAGTATCTACGACAGGTAGAGCAACGGCTGACTCAATTAACAGTTCGAATACATCTCCTAGATACTTTTCTGATCTCGTGAAGAAACACTCGTCTTAGCCCTACAGAAACACCGGGGAGAGGTGTCAATTTCAGGGTCAGTGATTCAAGATCAAAATAATAATTGACATTCCAATGCACGCGCACGCGGTGAGCGGCCCCCGGCGGGGTCAGGTCCGCTGGACATTACTCCGCACGTGACCTTTCGCAGGTACAAAATAGAACTGAGTGAGCTGCAGATACTAGTGGGTCGAGTGCGGGACAACTGGAAGTACGCGCACACCAAGACCACCTCCTCGCTGCACCTGCTGGACCGGTTCAGCATATCTCTGCAGGTGAGGAGCGCGCTCCGCAGGAAACTGAGAACTATCGTTAGATTTCTATAAATCACAACTTTTGACATTCGTTTTCACACACGTCGTGACTTAACTCATGAATATCGCCAGTATTACATTTCACACGTCGAGTGCTCACTGCTCCTGCTCGCTCGCGAGGACTCGTGACGGCGCCCATAAGGGGTCCGTCCTGTGTGGCGCTGCTGGTGCTTCCTGATATATAAAAAAATGTGATCGAAATTTATATTCGACGTTGACATCGAAATTTACACAATCCAGTCATTTTTACACCGAAGTATCCGATTCCTAAACCGAAAGAGAAGTTGGTCCGGGCGGATGCCACTGCCGCCGGCCCGAGCCCGCGGATGGCGACAAGCGCTTATCGCTGCTACTCCTGGACAGCAATGTGAAGGTTAACCGTTGTTTGCCGATGGGCATGTCGCAGGCGGAGCGGCGCGTGCTGGAGACCAGCGACCCCGTGTACCCGCGCGCGGCGCTGTGCGGCTCGCTGCCGGCCCTCGTGGCGCACCTCACCGAGCACAAGCTGTGCGCGCTGCGGGCTGTGCTGGCGCCGCTCAGGTACGGGCACACGCACGCACACGCACGCACACATAGACACACACACACGCGGTAGATATTGATGTGTTGAACAAAATATTTTTAGAAAATTACAGGCATTTTTCTAGCCTAACCTAGGTTTTTCATATACTTTCTTTATTACATATATATACATAAAAAAAAATTTTTAACAAAAGTTTTGGTTTGTTGATCAATTGTAATCGAAACCTATGTTCTAAAATTTCAATATCACCTATTAGATCGGAAGATGCGCCAGCTCCTCAGGCGAGTCCGGCGACAGAGGACGACGACGAAGCCAGCGTCAGATCAGAAACCGACCGCTCCGAGAGCTCCTCACACAACAACTCCACTATCTTCATGCTGCAGTTTGCTGTGGATCAGATGTCGCTGGAGGTCACATACATTAACCTGTAGTCCTGGTGTGGTCCACCCTCAGAGCAGCTCAGTGAGAGATCGGTCGCCGCAGGTCCAGTCCCGCGGGCGCAGCATAGCCGAGGTGCAGGTCTGCGGGGTGAAGATGGCCGCCACGGCCAGGCCGCGCGACGTGAGCTTCTCGCTGTCTGTGCACTCCCTGCTGCTGGTGGACGCCCTCCAGACCTACGGGCCGGATTTCGAGCTGCTCGTGGCCAGCCACAAGCACGTGGGGTCAGTGGCCGTAGCGGCGCTTCTATTGCACTTGGCCGCTCGTTTCTGCGTGGCCACTAATCGTTTGTTAGACACATACACTTACTCCTACTGGCTTAGTAATTACTCCACGGTGCGACCGCCAGTGACCGATCGTGTGGAATTTGTTGAAGAATGTAATGTATTGAATTTATATTTCAATAAACAAAGAATGTTTGTTTGTGTTACAAGGATGGACACGGCGTCGGGCAGCATCCGCGGCTCGGAGCCCACGTCCCCCACGTCGCCCACCTCCCCCACCTCCCCCGCGTCCCCCGCGCGCGCCCCCCGCCCCGCGCTCGCCCTGGCGCACCCGCACGTGCTGCACCACGCGCTGCACTCGCTCACCGCGGCTAGGGGTAAGCGCCTGTCTGCTCCTGCCGCACGTGCACTCGTGCACTCCGGCCCGAGAGAAGGTCAGGAGTTCGACGATACTAATGACAAATCGATCACATGTGTTGACAAGTGTGTTGCCGTATCGGCGTTGTGATGAGCTCCACTTAACAGCAGACAGACTGTTTGGGAAATGCTATTAGTCTGAATTTGGATCGTCTCACTTTTGATAATTTTGCTTAAACCGTTAAAGGCGTTATTTTTGGAAAAAATGAAGTAGGTGTTGCTTACTAGCCGATCAGTACTATGAATTACTAGCTCTTTGATAATGATAATCAAATAACGGTCTGTGCTCAATGTTCAGGCACCGATGAACTGGACCGAGCTAGCCCAGCACCGAGCTGGCTGACAGGCGACAATGGAAACTTCAACAACTGCGGCTTCGGACCTATTTGGAGTACCACTGAGAGCTTTGGAGAGAGTAACGGTTGGGGCAACTGGCCCGGCTCCGGTAATGCTGAGAACTCTTGGGGGAACACGAGTTCNCAAATAACGGTCTGTGCTCAATGTTCAGGCACCGATGAACTGGACCGAGCTAGCCCAGCACCGAGCTGGCTGACAGGCGACAATGGAAACTTCAACAACTGCGGCTTCGGACCTATTTGGAGTACCACTGAGAGCTTTGGAGAGAGTAACGGTTGGGGCAACTGGCCCGGCTCCGGTAATGCTGAGAACTCTTGGGGGAACACGAGTTCCGCTTGGGGGGCCACCGGCCTCGGGTGGGGTGCTGCCGGACTGGTGGATGATGAAGCACTTATCGCTGTCGACTTGTGCTTGGTTAAAGGCGAAGGGGATTCTGAAGACTTGAGAATCGCCAACATTTTGTTCAATAATTTGGACATTATTGGTAAGGATGTTTTCATTTTATATTTAAATAATGTACATTCAACATGTCCTGCAACTGTACTCGAAAATGAAGACAGGTCGTCTAGCCTGTCGCCTGCGCTGCGGCAGGGGCACGTGGGACATGGAAGCGCTAAAAATAAATTTCACAATTCATATTCTATTGAAATGTTTGCGCTGCGTACGACTTTTTAAATTCAAGTGATGGACAGAGTTAGGGCCGACCCCCGGAGGCAGGGGGCGGCGCCCGCAGTGGGACCGCACCTAACGACACTCGCCGGCAACTAGTACTAGTAGATTAGCTAGTATATTAATATTGGTTTTCACTTGAAACTTGTAGTTTATTCCCGTGTCGGCTTCATAGTCGCTCTCCTAAAGGAGTTCGTGAATTTCTTTCAGATTCTTTTCAGTGGTGGAATTGTATTTCCATTTAGTAAAGACTATTCGAAAGTGAAAAATATTTTTGATTTACATTTTATCAGTGACCATTTTGACATGTATATTTATAGCTAATCAAGAAACTATAGTCGAGTTAATCGGGTTTGCTCAGCGTGTGATGGGTCCCAAGACCAGCAAGACGCAAGGGGATGTCGACGAAACCCGACCGGAGCCCGCCGCCGCGCACGCCAGCCCTCCGCCCGACGACGCGCCCAAGGTGCAACAACGTCACTTGTATTACTTGTAGCGATCCCGCAGGTAGCGGTGCTGTGTGCCGGAGCCACACAACGCTGTGTGCACATCTTACCATGAAACAAATAATTAAGGGTCACATTGTATAAGTGTTAAACTTAGGTATGGAATAATATTTGTTTGAATAACTGTGCCGACCCCGCACAGTGGAGTGAGGGCAGACAGGAGAAGAACTACCATTAGTCGATGAACGCATAGTCCGCTTGTCTCATGTGGTATATGGTGCTAATATGTCGCCGTCGATTTTCTCTTCTCAAATGACGTTTGATGTCATAGAGCTTTGAGAAAATCGTGGAAGCGAGTTTATTTTAGAGTAGAATAATAGGTGGCTGAAGTTAAGTTCGGAGAGTCATCGCGAGTGCAGGGCGCTTATATGTGTGTATCGATCTGTAGAGAGAAGTGCGCACAGAGATAACGTTTGACTTCCACCGGCTGGGCGTGCTGCTGCTGCGCGCCGCCCTGCACGACGGCGCCGTGGTGGCCAGGAAGATAGCCACCGCCACTCTCAGCGAGGCCAAGATACAAGCCACTTTAGGTAACTTAGTCAAATTGAATAAGCTGACCTGAAATGCGAGCTTTTATTTATTGCCTGTAAAAGTTGTGAAATTTTAATTCAATTATGAGCTTCAATCGGTTCAGTCCTTCCAATATAACGTACAGACGCGAGCCGCGTGTCCGTGGGCGGGTCCCTGGGCGGCGTGCAGGTGGTGTCGCTGTGCGAGCGCAGCGTGCACGCGCGCGTGCTGTCCGCGGGCCGCGCCCCCCCGCCCCCCGCCGCGCCCGCGCCCCCCGCGCCCCCCGCCCGCGCGCTGCTGTTCGACGTGGAGCGGTCGCTGGGCCCGCGAGCCGCCGACACGACAGGTAGCCCCCGGTCCCCCCGCATCTGTCAGTCTTGCCGTTTCAACTTGCTTTCATTCTGTTCGGTTAATATATTTATAAAGACCAAATCCGCCGCAAAGTTGAAATATAAACCGAATTTTCAGAACACAAGAATCCATTAAAATAGTAAATTGTAATTGATTATAATGTGTAAATGGCTTCAATGTAATTTCAAAAAAATTAATTGTTTGTTCCTCTGCACTATAAAATTCGTCCGTCGCGACGTCACTATATCGTACAAATGTTTGCATGCGTGGAGTGGTGGAGGTGCGCGTGAGCGTGCAGGTGGCGCGGGTGTGGTACACGCACTCCAACGCGCTGCTGCTGGAGCTGAGGTCGTGCCTCACGGAGTTCAAGCAGTACCTGTCCAACCTGGCGCGCTCCATCCGAGCCGCCGCCGCCGACATGGCCATAGGACTCGTGCACCCGAGGTAGGGGTCAAATTGTATATTTGTGGCAGGACTTGTGGCTTTGATTCCCACATCAGTCTGAGTGAAATCTGGTTTACATAATGAAACAATATTTTGCCACGTGTATTTTCTCTCAGAGGGGAGTCGTTGTATTCCAACCCGAAGCTGTCCCAGTCGACGGAGGGCGTGTCTCCGAGACGGCGCACCGCCAGCACCGGCACCTCGCTGGACGAGCCCCCAGACCTCACGTCCGACAGCGTCGTGCTGAGGTAGCCATTGTGGACTACAAACCATACAGTTGTCGGCGCTCCTCCAGATACTGCATCATTTGCATTTAATAATCGCGAGTTTGTTTGATTTTATATCGCGGTAACACTAAAGTTAGTGTGACACATCCGCCACTATTCTTTCACTAGTAGACATTGATCCAGTTAATGTTTATAGTCTAAGATCCCGCTGCAGGTTGGTGTGCTCATCGACTTTTTGTTTAAAACCAAATTTTTATATTTATTTATAATTAAGAGAATATACCTAGTCAGGTCATAAATTCTGTCACATGTTTAATGTAAAATAATTGAAACAAGTTTATTCATTATGTAACCATTCATATACCAAAATGAACTTAACAAAACATAGATTCTCATGACACTAAAGTTTATTCAAAATTACCTCCGTGATTTGGAATACAGGCCTTCAATCTGCGCGGCCAGTCGTCTATCGCAGCACGAACGAGGTCCATGTCAATATCGGCGGCTGCCTTAATCAAGGATGTCTTGAGTGACTGCAAATTGGGATGAGGCTTTGAGCACGCCTTTTCCTCCAAGTGTTGCCATATCTTGTAATCTAACGGATTCAAATATGGACTGGAGGAGGGCCAGTCTTCGTGCCGGATGAAGTCGATTTCCCGCGCCGCCAGCCAGTCTTGTGTGCTCTTCGCTCTATGAGCTGGCGCCGAATCTTGTTGGAATACCCAGTGCCTGTTATTGAACATGGTATGAGAAACTGGTTCCACAAGGTTCGTCAGGACTGTATTTTGATACACAACTGCATTCGTTTTTACACCTTTCTCACAAAAATGTACCTCTGTTAAGCCCCAATAAGAAACTCCCAACCATACCATGAGCGAGGATGGAAAATGACCTCGTTGGACACGCGGAATACGGTTGCTCGCTTCTTCACTACTGTGTGCGTACACCTTATCATTTTGTTTGTTGTAGCTCTCTTC